TATTTACATAGTAGAAGGTGATAAAAATTCAAATATAGTAAAAAATTAGGTGCTCACAGCTGGTAAATATATAATAACACAAGATAAAATAAAATATCGCGGTAAAATAAGGACTGAAATTTAACAAGAATGAAATCATAGAAGACAACAGCTCAATACATAGAGATAACAACATGGAATTTTTTGAGATACCGTTTCTTAGTCCCAACGTAAATGTGCAGAACATGGGGATCTCCCGGAATACCATTCCGTAGTCCCAAAGTAAATATGCAGTACATGGGGATCTCCCGGAATATCATTCTGTATCCCCAAAGTAAATATGCAGTACATGGGGATCTCCCGGAATACCGTTCCGTAGCCCCAAAGTAAATATGCAGTATAGGGGGATCTCCCGGAATACCGTTCCATAGTCCCAAAGTAAATATGCAGCTAAACAATAGAATTCAATAGTTACGGCATAAAATTCTATAGTTCAACCTAAGTACTAGTTAAGGAAAGACAGGTAAATTCACTAAACATGCTGCACCTAGTTCAAGTAAGCAGTTAAGAGAAGTAGGCATACTATTCTAGTCTAGTCGGATACCACACATGCTGATGGAACTCAAATAAGAAAAAAATCAGGTTATTACTTAGTAGAAAATCGGGTTTTTACACAATTAGCCCGTGTACGTACTCGTCACCTCACATACACGACGCTCATATATCAAAAACAGTACAAATCCTACGGGAAATTCCCCCACACAAAGTTAGGCAAGCCACTTACCTCGAACCAAGCTCAATCAATCGGTAAGAATGCCTTTTTCACGAATATCCGATTCTGAATGGCTCGAATCTAGCCAAAATAAATCGATACAGTCAACAAAAATTATAGGAATCAATTTCATAAGAAAATACTATATTTTTCAATAAAAATCGAAATTAACTCAAAAAGTCTCGAAATCCGGCGAAACTGACAAAATCCGACAATAAATTTAATTACGAGTCCAACCATACCAGTTTCACTCAAATCCGACTCCGAAATCTCAAAAATTTATTTCTATGAGATTTCTAAAAAATTTCCAAATTTCCATCTCAATACACTAATTAAATGGTGAAAATAATGATATATTCGTGTATATTGACCAAATTCGAGTTAGAAACCCATACCCAAATATTTTTCCTTGAAAATCTATCAAAAATCGCCTCTCCTCAAGCTCCAATTCGTCAAAAATGGCGCATGGGACGAAGTCCCTTATTTTATAATTTTGTCCAAGCAGCCCTCGGTCTTGCCTCGATCCCGGGCCTCGATCATGGCCCTCGATCCTGACCTTCGATCATGGGCATCGATCATGGCTTCGATCCTGGCCCTCGATCATGGCCCTCGATTCTGGCCTTCGGCCCTGGCCCTCGACCCTGGCCTTCGACTCTAGGCTCGACTTCTAGGCTTCGATCCCGGGCTCGATTTCTGCATTTCCAGCAGAAGAAATTGAAGCAGCTGTTTAAGTCCAATTTTTTATCCGTTAACCATATAAAATTTACCCGAGGCCTTCGGGACCTCAACCAAATACACCAACAAGTCCTAAAATATCATACAGACTTAGTCGAAGCCTCAAATCACATCAAATAACGCTAAAACCACGGATCACAACCTAATTCAAACTTAATGAAACTTTAGAATTTCCAACTTCTACATTTGATTTCGAACTATCAAATCAAGTCCGATTGGCCTCAAATTTTGCACACAAGTCATAAATGACATAACAGAGCTATAAATATTTTTGGAACTAGATTCTGACCCAAATATAAAAAAGCCAACTCCTCGGTCAAACTTCCAAACCTAAATTCCTATTTTAGCTATTTCAAGCTTAAATGAGCTACAGACCTCCAAAATAAAATTCAGACACACCCCTAAACCCACAATCACCTAACAGAGCTAACAGAATCGATAAAATTCTATTTCGGAGACGTCTTCATACAGTTCCGACTACGGTCCAAATTCCTAGGGCTTAAACCTCCATTTAGGGACTAAGTGTCCCAAAACACTCCAAAAACTAAAACAAAACCTCCTGACAAGTCACAATAACAGAAATAGATATGGGAGAAGTAGTAAATAGGGGATCGGGGCTATTACTCTCAAAACGACCGGCCAGATCGTTACAATTTTGCTTTGGGCTTTATTTGAGTTACTAACTTTTATGGGCTACAAAACATATTTGACCATTCAAAAGTTCTAAATCCAAGCATGAAATAATACATTAAAAGAGAGAACTACAAAAAAATTTAAAAAAATATTAATTACATTACAATAATTATTTTTATGTATAAAATATTTTTAAAACTTGTATACATGTAATGTCGGGTTGGTTTGGTTTCGATTTGACTTTATTTTAGTTAAAACCAAACCAAACCAAACCAATTATGGTCGGGTTTTTTCCTAACCAAACCAAATCAAACCAAACCATAGTCGGATTTTTTTCTCAGTTTGACTCGGATTATCGGTTTGGTGCGATTTGTCGGTTTTCTTTGTACACCCCTACTGATAGGTAGTGGAAAGATATATATAAAGAAAAATACAGTTTTTAAATAATAAATTTAATTTAGAAAAAATACCTACAAAAAACGAGATTGAAAAACTAATTAGATAAAAAATACCTACAAAAAACGAGATTGAAAAACAACATATTTTCGCTAGATATATAAGTTATCACCATCACTTAATATATCTCACTCTAGAAAGAATTCAAAACATAATAAAATAGAGAACAAAACTAGAAGACTGTTTGAATAATCGAGGAGAATTCGAACTAGGTGTGATTAATAACGATAATAATTTTAAAGGATTTCTTACTTGGGAAATTAAGAGAGTTAATAATTAAGAGAGTTAATAATAATAATATTATACAAGAGAAAGAAGTAAAATAGAGCACTCAGAAGTAAAATAGAATACTTTCCTTTAGGATAGAGTATATGAGACAACATCTTTTGATTAAACGAATAGCCTTTAATTATTGAGTTTTAAACAGAGATATAGTGTATGTGTGTTGACATAGATGACGTGGTACTCCCTCCGTTCTCTTTTGCTTGTACATTATTTTAAAAATAAATTTTCATATTTACTTGTCCACTTTCGCTTATCAAGAGAAAAATAATTTATTTTTTTTATTTTACCCTTATCATTAATTACTCATTCCAAATTATTTTCCAAATCTATTAAGATTATACACCAATTAATATGGGTATCATGGTAAATTATATACTTTATTTATTATTTCTTAAGGGGTGTACAAAGTCAATAGTGGACAAGTAAAAGTAAACGGAGGGAGTATCTTTTTTTCCTGGTAAAAATATAGTATATCTTTCCACAAATCTATCATTCTTCTCATTTTTCAAATTAATTAAAAAGCACTTAATACATCATAATGATTCAATAAATGTAATTTTGCCGTTACTAATTCCTCAAAGTTTTTACTCAATAGGTGTGTATTCATCTCATCCTCCTCATTCAATAAAAAATTCTGAAATCTCTATTAAAGGAAAAATAAACACAACCCTTTTACCATTCCCCAAAAAGTCCAATCATCATCATAAAAAAACTAAAGGCACTCTTGTGTTGGTCTCCATTAGTGATTTCTCTTATAGGATTTCGTTCTCTATGCACCTTTGTGTATCTCCATAGTCAATAATTGAATATAACTATATTTATTGTAGTATAATTGAATCTCAAGAGCAACTTAATTAACTTTTCATTGTTGAAAGGAGTTTACGCTTTATAATAAATCTGATGTTTGGTGTAAGCAAGGAAAGAATCAAAATAGAGTAGGAGGTGGCTACAACCATTTTGCTAAAAGGTTCTGTTCTTTCTTCCAATTCTTTTGCTTTTTTGTATTTATGATCCATATATTCTAATCCTCAATTGAGGGTTTACTGTGATTTTTGATTCCATTATTTTGAGTAATTTGATATAACATGTTTTGACATCAGTATAAAATAATAATATCAATTCTTATATTTTCAATTCTTCATTCCCATTTTGTTTGAGAAATTTCAAAGTTCATGATTAGTAATATCATTAAGAAATTGATTGGACGTGTCAGCCTTTCCCCCCCAATCTTATTTTAAAAATCCCAAAGGATACATATAATTACTAATATTATTTACAACAATTATTATTACTATTATTTGTGAATTATATTTAAGTAGGAAGACGAGGCAGTAGGACATACATTACATTTTTTATTCCAGAAAAATATGTGTCAACTTGTCTTCCAATTGAGAATATTGCTTTCAAGCACAATCTCTTTTCTTGCCATTAAAAAAAGCGATTATATCCTACTGCGTGAAGCAAAAGGAGGTTAAGTAATTTGGAGATAAGAAAAAGGCCGAATTCACCAAATGAGCAAAAACCTCTTTTAATTAGCATTTGCTAAATGAATAAATTTATTTAAATTATTTTTTGTCTCTTTGTCGCTATCTTGATTTTAGTTTTTTTAAATATATTGTCTAACTATTACTTGCTATTAGTGCTTCTTTAATCTTTTATTTAGCCGAGGATCTATCGAAACCAACTGTCATTCTAGCGAAAGGATAAAACTACCTACATCTTACCTTCCCCAGACCCCACTTGTGTGATTATACTGGATTGTTGTTGTTATTTATAGTCTTTCTCAAATAAGAGATGAAGTAAATAAGATATTAAATTCTGGTAAAACTTTCCCTTCATAGTCATAGTAATATCGTATAAATGAGATGGCATTTTGCTGGTTTTTGCTCACCTTTGCTTGTTGCTTCGTTCACATCATGTCCAAAAGGTTGGTTGGATCTGTTCAAATAAGCTGCTTGTACATCTTGTTCACAATAGTAAGCAAACTTTTTAATTTCTTAACATCATGTCCAAAAAGTTACCAATGAAATGGAGAAACCAATTCTAAAAATTAAATCCAAATAAAAGAAAGCATGAAATTTCTTCGATAGCGTCTCGTCAAACTCGAGGTTGCTCCGTCCTAAGCTAATTTCTCTACAATGGCAAAGCAGAAGGAAACTTCCACCATTGAAATCGATGATCAGAATTCTAATCCTTCCGATCAGATCAGCATTAACCCTAAGATCTCCGTTAATGGTACTCTCTCTATCTCTCTCCGAAAGCTTATGCTTGAAACTTCGTCAGTCTTTTCTTCCAATTGCAATGAAAACTTTGGGATCGTCTTATCTCTTTAGGTCACCGAATTTTGGGTACTTTACATGATTTTGTAGTGTTACAGCTTATAAAATCTGAATAAATGCTGCATGTATTGCTAATTTGGTGATTACGACAAAATGACATCTTATGCAGATGCTTTTTCTCTTTGTTAAAAAGTTCGAACTCCATTGAATTTTTCTTTCTTGCAAGAAATGTTAAAAATATGTGAGAATTAAAAGTAATATTCTTGAAATTTTATTAAAATCTTATTTTTTTGAGTTAAGAAAATACCAACAAGTAAGGAAACATCATTCCAAGGAGATAGCTTCGGTTAAATTAGTACTACGGCATAATCACTCCAGTGAAGAAGCAACGTTTGAAGCTGACGATGACATGAAGTTGAGAAATCCTCACCTTTTCGATCTTACATGTAGGTTGAGTTTTAATTTGTGTTCACTTTTTAATGAGATCCAGAATTTTTTATTTTATATGTCTTGCTAAAAAACTGCAGCTTTAATGAGACTAACCAATGGTCATAATTTTACTTAGGAAAGATTCAGACAAAAGGTATAAGAAGAAAGCTTGGCAACAACTAAAACTACACATCTTACTCTAAATTGCTTTCCCGTACTTCCAGAAAGCATTATAACAGTATCTCAGTGTAGTGAAGTAAATTAGTGAGAAAAGAGAGAGTTATATGGGTACGTATCTTTGATGATCAAATCAAAAACCAAAAGGAATGTTCATTGTTGGTGATCAGAGTGAAAACCAACTTGTGACATTCGTTATTGGTGATAAAGTGAAAACCAACCTAGTTATGTTTGTGATGAACACGGAAAAATCATCCCAGTTGTACTTAAAAAAATCCTTAAAGTGCTCACAATATAAACTACAATGTAAACAAAGGGGACTGGACTAGGCACATGATCCAAACCAGAATAAAGGTTTCTCTCTCTTTACTTTTCTGCATATTCACATTCATTCTTGTTTTATCTGAAAAACTAACAGTTTGTTTTCTGCAATTTCTGGAACTAGATTTTAATTTGGCTAAACTTTACAGTAATAAAATGCAAACGCCCCCCTCCCCCCCCCCTGTGTTTTTCACTAGCTATAAGGTGTTGATATATGTAAGCATCCCATGATTAGATGGGAAGTATGGCTATACTTTTTGAGTTTATGATGTCATGAGGAATCTCTCTCTCTCACACAGATCAAAATTGACAAGAGCTCTCTGAATTAAATAAGACAAAGAAAAGTGCAAATACAATATATGCTGTTGAGATACAGAAGTTGCTTAAGATATTTTCTGCCAGCTTCGACTTTTATGCATCTAGTGATTTGGCTTATCAACACATTATCTTCATACATTTGTTTCATTGTTTCCTATATATAGTATAAGAGTTCGTTCTCAAAAAATATACAAGCGATCACTCTCTCGCAGAGCAGCCAAATCCTCCATTTGAGAACCATCTGCCATGACAATAGTGGTTCCACTTTTCCCAAACTTTCTTTCTGCATCCACCAAATAATATGGTTAGACAGGATTCTGAATATTGTCATAATTCCTTTCCGGTAATCTTCTCGTTGATTCAAAAGGATGGTAATTTCATATGAGCGGATGAGTGGAAATGAAATTGTTTGAAGGGACTTGCTGAATTCAAAATGTACGAGAAGAACTACGATCTTTCAAAATTTCCTCACCTGCTATACTTAGAAGATGTTCAACTGAATCAGGTAGATGGATTAGTTTTCCTCTTTCATTTGATGTATCATCCGGATGATATCCATGAATTATCACCCTTGTAGGAAGCGTCTTTGACAGGGCAGGAGCTCTGGGTATTACTGCATCCAAAATGAGGGCTTAGAATCCGTCAAGTTAATTGAATCAATGAGAATACCATAGGAACATCTGAAGCAAATTTTCATCATATGCATGGATACAGAAAAAAAAGTTAAAAGTAGTAGTCACACCCATTCATGGTTGAAATGGAACAGAAAGAAAGGAACATTGAGAAAGGGTTTATCAGATAATAATCAACATGTAATTTATCTATCGACGATTTAGCCTGTTCAGAACCAGCCCTTCTCTCATTTATGTCCATCACTTTCGATTATTCTCTATGATCCAGAATTTTGAGTCAGCGGGTTCAGAGTTCTACTTAGGTTCACATTGACCTTAAGTCAACAACAAGATAAAAGAACATAAATGGGCCTTCAGTTAAATGGTTAAAAATATCAACATCTACATCAAGTTCTGCAGAACTGATAATGTATAGTATCTTCTTAAACCAGATAGAACTGGTATGCACATTCCACCTCTCTCTGACTTGTATCTCCAGAAGTACAAAGTATAGTATAAGAGCACATTCCACCTCTCTCTGACTTGTATCTCCAGAAGTACAAAGGATAGTATAAGAGCACATTCCACCTCTCTCTGACTTGTATCTCCAGAAGTACAAAGGATAGTATAAGAGCACTTGAGCTCCAAACCTAGCCACTGTTTCCAGATAAAGATGCAGCAAGCATAAAATAACTCCTTCTGGTTCCACATTTTATTACTTTTCACATGAGTATAGAAGGCCTGAGACAAAATGGGTTTGATTAAACTCTCTGCCAATGAGCTATATTCATCACTGTCTCCTATTGGGCAGAGTTATCTTATCAAAGTTATATAATATATATTTTATCTTTGGTAAATTTTGATATGAACTGCACACTTTTTTGTCATCAGCATTGGTTCCAAGTGAAGTGAAAGCTTACTGTTTTCTTGTTGAACATGTCCTGCATGATCTTGTGATCCAGCCTCAATCACTGTGGATTCCTGCAAGAGGTCAATGAAGCAACATAAAATTTATTCTTAGTGAAAAGGTTTGGAAGTTTTCATATGTTCTTACTTTACTTTTGCATTTATTGCACGTCTAAATTTAGCTCATTCTGCATGTTAACTAAGAGATCATTGAAGTTGTCATTTGGAGTATGTTATTTTTCTGTCAATGGATACTATCTAAGAGTGCTTAGAAACTTACCTATCGCCCATTTTTTTGTTCTTTTCAATTTCTTGGGGAAGTTGGGGCTATTGTTTGAGTTTGCTACTTAGCATGAGATGGTTTCTTGTAAATATTTTTCCATGCTCATCATTATTAGGTCCATAACTCCGGTAAGTTTGCAAAAGAAAGCAGGTGTATTAAATTTGTCGGTAATGTTCAACAGTAATGAAAAACAAATCAGACTTAAGTTCGTATTCAATTTAATGCATTAGGTTTTGCAAGTTAATGACAAAGAATTACCTCACTGTTTAAGTCATCGAGAAATTCTGATACGACCGGCATCTCTGCTAGCTCCTCCTTTTTCAATCCCTTCAGATGCTGATAATATAGTGCCACAAATTAAGATCAACAATAAGGGTGACATAATTAAGTATAAACAGAGATATAACCCAGGAAAGAGCTGGATGCTGATCTAAGTATTTTCTGATGGCTGAGGGTATCAAGAATAGAGTGAGATACAGGGAAAATGGACAACTCACTTTTTACTGGGAATATTATGATATTCAAGAATATTAGTAGCAACTAAATAGAAGGTACCAGAGCATGCACCTGAAGAAAATTGGAGAGAATTATCTGTCCGTCTTCTTTAAGGGGCTGAACCAGTTGCTTGAAATGATGATGACTAATACGGACAACTTGAGAAAGCCTCTTACTTCTCACTGTGAAAGGTTGAGGGATATTAAACACCACACCTATTTCCCCAAACATTTCTTGAGACCCCAACTTCGAAAGAAACTGTCAGCAGCAACATTTGAACTTTTTATCAGAAGAATTAGTAGTCATATATATCCCAATTAAAAGTAGTTTGCATAGAGAATTTTATGTCGAATCGTTGTATCTCTATACTGTTAATAAATCTTCATAAGAGAAAAGTGAAATACGTTCAGACCTGTTCCGTTCCGTTCTTGTATGTTACAACATCCTGCAGCGGTCAGTTAATCAGTAAATTGGTAACTGTCTGGGTATACCAAGAGAGCAAATTAAAACTTGAGTAGTTGAGTGGAATGGCACATACCATGGCCCCAGATACAATAATGTAGAAATCTGTTGGTATCTCATTTTGAATAATGATGTCCACATTTGGTGGGAAATATTCTGCCTTTATCTCTGAGACCTGTAGTATTAAAAGTGAAACAACATATATAGCTTAGATCTGTGGAATCCTTAAGCGCACAGTTAAAGTTTAAACCAAGAAGAACATGGTTTCTAGAAGGTAGCTAGCTTATTGAAAAAATATTGATTTGAGCCTGAAGGTAGCTTGCTTATTGAAGAAAAACAAAAGGGGGTGGCTTGCAGTAGTTTCGATGATTACAAAACAAACCCTCTTCCCTGTTAATAACAGTTGGAAATAAATTAGCTGCGCTAGGGATGAAAACATTACCAACTGGACTATAAAATCTTCGGGGACTCTTTTGAAAAGGTAGGTATTTTGTAAGGTTGTACGAAAGAGCTGCTGTGAAATGCTAGATCTTATAGCCTTTGGCAAGTCTTCTAAAACTTGTTCTTGCTGTAGTTCTGTTGTCTTGAATTTCAGTGTCAAATGTGCTAGCATTTGCTCTTTTAGTCCTTCTGGAAGTCTATTCTTGCTCGCATATCTCAAAATCTGATTGATGGCATCCCTCTGCATACATTCACAAGTAATTTGGTTTATGGAACTATGCATGATCTTGAAAAAAAATCTAGAAAATTAATGCAGGAAAATGATCGGTCCACCATGGCAAATGTTCGAACAGCATTATGGACAATAAGGTTAGTCATGTTGCCAATGAAGTAGGCAGTAAGTCCAATGTTGAGAAGCATGTAAAAGATGGTGAAGATCTTCTCTTCAGTATTCACAGCATAGAGATCACCATATCCGACTGTTGTGAGGGTGGTAATAGACCAATACATGGAGTAGGTGTATCCTTGCCAGATACTTTTTGTTTTGAAATCAGGAATATTTTTCCCAATCCAGGTATCCTCTGAATTATGATAACGTGTTGCCAGCCAGAAATAGAAACACCCTGCTGAATGTACTGAAAATAATGTCACCTGTCATGTAATACAGTCATAAGAAGATTAAAGCCATTTCAAGAAGATATATAGTCATGCCTATATCATATGATCATGTAAAACTTATCTAATGTATAGCTAAGATGACAAGTATTTACACAAATTAGTTTGCAGTATCTTGTCCAGAAGTAGCTGAATCGAGTGTCCTTCTCTAGCCTAGAAGGAAGGGGGAGAGATTAGTTGATACAATGTCTAACTTTAAAGGAAGTGATTATATTGATGCTACAGAGAATCGATCCATGTTTAAGAATTATAAGTATACCTTGAGAAGAATTCACTAACGCGCCGCAGTCGCCAGAGTCTCAGCAAGTTGAGGAAGCCAAAGACTGGTCCTCGGTTCATTTTTCCAGTGACGATCCGGTTTATGGTTTGAAATGGTAGAGTTGAAGCTACATCCATTGGAAACCATAGATGTGTGACGTACCTTTTCAAACAGAAGAAAATACTGAAATTGTAATCTTCATAAGAAAAAATGAGAAAAAAATAATTAAAAAATTTGTCCATAGCCCAAGTCCATGACACGTATTGTCCCCTTTAGCCTAACATGCTTCACGAATTTGTCCCTTGGGCTACGTCATCATAGAGTCCAAAAACGCGCGTACGGTGAGAACTTGTGCTATAACTTATAGTATATAATGCTCTTTCACTTTTCTCTAGCCCAAGTCTATGGCACGTATTGTCCCCTTTAGCCTAACAGGTCTCACGAATTTGTCCCTTGGGCTACGCCATCATAGAGTCCAAAAACGCGCGTACAATGAGAACTTGTGCTATGCCTTATAGTATATAATGCTCGTTCACTTTTCTCACCCACTTTGATGTGGGATTCGCCTAAGGTGTCATGTGCACCCTTCTTTGTCAACCTAGAAGTTTGCCAGTCCTTCTATTTTAAACGTCCTTATCGGCTCGTCCTCCATCATGGAAGCCATACACCTCTCCTAAGGGACTCGGTGTCATCGCTGAGGTCTGCCCCACCACCGTATTGAGGAATAAGTGTACAACTCTAATGCCATATTTATTATATGCCAAGCCCATGACACGTATTTTCCGTTTGGCCCAACAGGTCTCATGGATTTGTAATGGCTACACCATCATCAAGCCCAAAAGCGTGCGCACCATATGAATTTGTGTTATGCCTTAAAAAGATCTCACTTTCCTATTTGGCTATTCCATTCCAACGTGGGATTTACTTGAGGTGTCATGTGCACACCTTCTCTTGTATCAAGATTAGTACAAATATAAGTGTTCTCTCTTTTCTTTTTTTTGCATCAATATAAAGTTTCTTACTTTCTTCCAATACAACTACACTTCTCCACTCAAGTCCCTTCAAACTTTTGCTGCACTAACAATAAGTGCCTTCTCTTAAAGCTTTCTATGCATTGTTACCTAGTTTTTATTTCATGTGATATCACAAGGCTTTAGTAGCTTCTGCCAAAAAATATTTCCATTTAACCCTTTGACAACAAGTAACCACTCAGAAATACCCAGCCTGAAACAAAATGAATACCTGAAAGCTATTTTCTTATGTTCTTCGACAAGCAAGTAAGTAGATTTGTCCAAGTACGCAATGAAGAAAGTGAGAATAATGTCAATAGCAAAGAAGGCGTCAACCACTAAATCAACAGGCAAAAGTGCTCCAGTTGCTGCCTTGTTGAATGCCAGTTCAAAGGGAGATGACCATGCTGAATAAACCACAAGTACCACCAGAAATGTTTGCCATAATCTGCATTTGCCATTACGTTAAAAAAAAAAAAAGAGTGAAAAATTCTCCTTTATATTTCAGGCTGAATAGTTATCATAAGATGCATGTATAGGTTTTGCTTCTTTTTTATTCCTATTATTTTCCTGAGTTTTGTACAGTATGGAGATATTCTTTCTGTCGCAATGTATATATCCCCATCATTTTAATTTATGTGATACAATTTTCTCATCACTTCGTTAAAAAATAAAAACACTTTTTTGTATTTGAAAATAATTTAACTTTAAACTTGCAATCTTGAGATGTCTTGAAGAGTATTTCCTCCATTTCTTTTGTTAGTTTTCTGTTACCCTAGTGCTATATCAAGTAAATTGAGGTAGTTCCGACTTCATTTATCAGGGACCTGCACATGATAAGTGGAATCATACGGAAATGTCCCAAATAAGTCGTAACTTACCAACCTCTAGCCATTAATTATATACTTACCAAACTAGTCAAGCACATACAAAAATTGAAAACCAGAACAAATAAGGATTCTTTCTCTTCAAAAATCACACGCAAAAATCTTCCCCCACATTTTTAAGCGTGATCAGCAACATTTGATACAAGATNTATATGGACCTTTTTCAATGGGTATGGTTGAAACTCATTGAAAACATACAGATGAGTCAATATACGAAATTTGAGGAAGATTGGAGGTGCTTTGGACTGATTTGGTATCAAAATTCGTACTCCCTCCTTTTCAATTTAGATGAGGTAGTTTGACTCGACACGGAGTTTAAGAAAAAAGAAGAAGACTTTTGAAACTTGTGGTCTTAAAAGCTTAATGGGTAAAAGCTTTGTGGGGCCATGACATTTGTGTGGTTGTAAAAGTTTCTCATTAAGGGTAAAATGGATAAAATGAAGAGTTTAAAGTTGAGTTATTTTCAAATTTAAAAATGTGTCATTTATTTTGGAACAGACTAAAAAGGAAAGTATCTCATCTAATTTGAAATGGAGGGAGTAATTAAAATCGAGTTCAAAAAATTCTTCTACGACACATGTATCAAACATATATCACGCGTGTATCGATCATACACACATGTATACATGGATATACATGTGATACACATTTGATATAATATAATATGTGATATACAAATAATACGTAGTGTGATACACATATCATCTTTTTTCATGTTCATCTTCTGCTTCGAATTTTCAAATTTCAATTCAAACCACCTCAAACTCTACCAAATCATTACAAGACTGAGATTTAAACTCCTTAAGATGTATCCAATCTATTCCAACAACACCACTCAAAAGAAAGCAAAAAATTAACCTTTGTTTTAGCTACTAATAGCTAATTGGTTAATATTGATAAGTAATATTTTATGAATGACGAAATACATAAACGATCCCTTTAAGTTGTTCCCAATGATCGGTGGACACATCAACTAAACCCATTTTCAGCTAGACATCTCATTCATTCACAAAAGAAGTTCAATTTAGCACCCTCCAACAAATCTCATGCGTGAGTTACAGTCGCGGATGACGTGTCAAACGGATCAATCACTAAATGACACGTGGAATTTTAAAAAATAATATATATATATATATACACACACACTAGCAACTCTCTTAATAAAAAACAGTATTTTATTTATTTATTAAAACTACCACAACCCTCTTTCTTCTTCCCCCAAAAAAGAAAAAAAAAATAGTCTTTCATGATTTCTCTGTTCTTGTAATGCTCATTGCACACTTCAATTACTTCTTTATCATAGTGGGTAATCAGGATAACAAAAAAACTACACCATAAATTCTCTTGGTTAGAAAACGATTTCGTATATATAATAAACTGAATAAAAAGAAATCAAGTCATGGAAATCCAAATGGTTTGTATACGGAACAAGAAAATGGTAGGTTTGAAAAAGAAATGCGTAAATGTGAAGAACTGAAAAATTTATAGCATTAGACATACATAGTTGATAAGAGCAAGGGGATCTTTGTAGAATAGATTTTCACAAAATTTAAGTTAATAGTCATTTATGCCATCTGAAGGAACCTTGAAGTGTGAAATGGGTGATTTTGGTCATAGAAAATAAAGTATGTTAAAGTGTGAAGTAAAGGAAGAGAAAATGGAGGCAGACGTGATTTAGGATAGAGGAAGGTCCGGATGGTGGAGGAGAAAATTGGAGGAGAAGAAGGTGTTAAAATTAGGTGGGGTCCATATTGTTTTCAGAAAAATAAAAAAATAAACCTAATTTTAGCCAGATAACTCGCATATGCGAGAGTGCATTTCACTCTACGGAGGCCGATAGTGTGGTGCTTAGTTGATCTTCTTTTGTGAATTAATGAGGTATCTAGCTGAAAATGAGCTCAGTTAAGGTGTCCAACTGATCGTTGGGATAACTTAAAGGGATCGTTTATATATTTCGCCTTTATGAATTAATTAATTTTTGTACTAACTTACTTATGAGCTGACAGTAATTTTCCCATGATAAAAAGAACCCATTTAATCTATTTTGTTTTCCACACTTTGCTACGTCTAAGGGGCTCAAAATAAAACTTTATACTAAGTTTGGCACAATATATTTTGTTTATGTACTCCATTGGATTGAAAACTTCCAATTATGTAAGAAGTATTGAGAATATCCTACACAATTCCAATTATGTAAGAAGTATTGAGAATATCCTACACTTTATGTGTAATATTTTTTCTTATTGCTAGCTGAAGTTTTAGCAATTTTTCTCCGAGTAATATTTTTTCTTATTAGTTTCCAATATGATATAAGTATGTTTAGGCTGAAATTTTAGCAAATAAACTAAAAAATTTCAGCTTGTTTATACTGAAGTTTTGGATAAAATTCAGGACAAAACTGTAGACTACGTTACAAAACTTCAGCATGTTTTGGTATGAAGTTTTAGCAAATGAACTAAATAACTTCAGCATGCATTAACAAAAACTCTTTAGAAAATTACATACTGCAAGACAAAAATTTAAGCATGTTTAGCCTGAAATTTTAGCAAATGAACTAAAAAACTTCAGCATGTTTAGTCTGAAGTTTTAACAAATGAACTAAATAACTTCAGCATGTTTTGTCTGAAGTTTTAGCAAATGAACTAAATAATTTCAACATACATTAGCAAAAACTCATTAGAAAATTACATACTACAAGAAAACTTAAGCATGTTTAGTCTGAAATTTTAGCAAATGAACTAAATAACTTAAGCATGTTTAGTCTGAAGTTTTAGCAAATAAACTAAATAACCTAAGCATGCTTAGTCTGAAGTTTTAGCAAATGAACTAAATAATTTCAGCATGTTTAGTCTGAAGTTTTAGCAAATGAACTAAATAACTTTACCATGTTTAGACTGAAGTTTCGGATAAAATTCATGACAAAACTGTAAACTGCAGGATAAATAATTTCAGCATGCATTAGCATGAAGTTTTAGCTTCAATGTGAAACAACTTCATGCTATATTAGCATGAAGTTTTAGCTTCAACATGAAACAACTTCATGCTACATTAGCATGAAGTTTTAGCTTCAAGGTGAAACAACTTCATGTAAGTGTGATTCTGAAAATGAATCTGGACAAGTTTCTGATTTTTTTATAAAGTTGCTGAGAGGAGAGGAGGAGATCGTTTTATATCTTTTGTCAGGGATGCAATTGTCATATTATTACGGATTTTTTGTGAGATGGCTACCAAATTAATAATTTTAAAATATAGGATACAGGTTAAAAAATAATACAAATATAAGGTACGACTGCAAATACACGCAATTATTCTGTTGGGCTTCTTTCTTAGCCTTCATGTAGCATAATATGAGATCTATTCCCCGTTTTCTACTTTTTTGCTGAACCATTGGCTATAATATATACAAGATGGTTGGTTAAGCCAGCACAAAAATACTCTTAAGAAAAGGCAGGATGAGAGGTGGGAGAGAATATTTGGAAGGTTTAGATTGGAACTTTTGTGATATTCTCATCCTTCTTTTGATGATCTCTGCTTGTGAACAGTGGCGGAGCCATCCCTTTGATTTTTTCATAGGTTTACTTTTATATATTTTGACACCCCCTAATGAAAATTCTGGTTTCGCCATGAGAAGTAAGTTGTCTCTTCAAGCAAGAAAGGGTAAAAGACTCCATGAGATCCATTGAAAACGGTCTTTTATCAACATGAGTAGGGGTGTTCAAATGAAATCGACAAAGCGCACAAACCCGATAATCCGAGTTAAACCGAGAAAAAAACTCGACTATGATTTGGTGTTGGAAAAAAAATCCGACCATATTTGGTTTGGTTTGGTTTTAACTAAAAAAAGTCAAACCGAAACTAAACCAACCCGACATTATATGTATAGAAGTTTTAAATATATTTAATATATAAAAATATTTATGGTAGTGTAGTTTATAAATATTTCTTAAGCTTTTTCATAGTTTTATCTTTAAACGTATTATTTCAAGCTTGAGCTTATTATTTTTGGATGCTCCAATAAGTTTTATAGTCCATAAATGTTAGTAACTCAAATAAATCCTAAACCAAAATCAAATCAATACTAATGCTAATAAAAGACATTCAATTCAATTGTACAATGAATGAAAATAGTGTTGAATATCTATTTTTTAGTTTTTTCATGGTTTAGATAAAATGTATAACTTATTTTTCTTTTAGTGGTTAGTCATGTAAATAATAGTTATTAGTCATAATTTTAAATTATGTTTGTTTTCATTATGGCTTATTAATAATATTTATTTTATGCGATTTTATTATCTTTATTATTAGATATTTTAGTACGATGCCATGACTCATCTCATATCGATGTTATTTTATTGAAAAATACCTTATATAGTTATGTCTTACTAGGATTAAATAAATATTTGGAGAACAAATTTTACGTTTTGTGCTATGAAGACTTTATGAATTAAAAAACCGAAAAACATCGAAAACCCGAGAAAAATCGATATTAAAAAATTCGGTTTTTATTGGTTTGGTTTGATATTTAGATTTAATAACCCAATACAATTAGTTTGATTTAATAATTAGAAAATTCGAACCAATCCAACGCATTTACAGCCTTAAACATGAGTAATAAAGTCAAAGTATTCAGCCTTTCATGTCAAAAGGTGTTGAAGGAAAGGGACATACCTGTATCTACGATCATAAGGAGCAATAACAAATCTTTTAAGCTTAACAGAGCCTTCACCCATCACAGTTCCAAAAGCTGGCAATATGCTGCTGGAAACCGAGGCTATGTTTCGTATTTCCCTGCTTGAATGCCGCCGGAACAACAACGACGTCGGAGATCTCGTCACCGTTAATGGCGCCGGCGACCTCGTCGTCGTCTCTGACAACGGCATTTTGTTGGCTGAGGTTGAGAGGAAAATTTGAGAGGTGGATTGGGTGAAGCTTTGCTGGAGACTTAGTTCTTTTTCTTTTCTAAGGGAAGGTAGTCATCTTAAGCATTATCATATCAATAAGTCAAACTCTAGGGAGTATTATTTTAGATGGAAATAATTCAGTTTTATTTATACTAAGGTCGAGGAGACAAAGAGAGATATACAATGGTTGAACTCAAGTTGGTCATACCAAGCCATGCGATTAAGGATTAAATGAGGATGCTAAGATTAAATAATCAAAAAGACTAAAAATATATAATTCTTTTATGAACAAATAAAAGAAAGCATATCACATGAAATTGAATTAGGAGTACCAGTTAAACTTCGAAAAGTTGAAGCCATATATACTTATATTATATTATTAAACAGATAGAATAGCAAAATCCTCGTACGGACGCGAAACTTGTACTTTATTTAATTAAACTTTGAAAAGTTGAGAAATCCGAAAAAAGTAGTACAATTATATATTAGGAAAATAGAATAGCGAAGTCCTCATACCGATGCGAAACTTGTTATACTACTGGCCAAAACAAACCGCGGCCAACCGATCTAAACGGTCGAAGTCGGTCGATTTTTTAAAATATATATATTTTTAATTTTATTAACGAAACCGAAAGACTTCTTTTTTGGCATAAAAATGCGAAAAACTATTTTAGCATCCCACGAAATTTATTTTTTAAGAAACCGATCAAAATCGGTCAATTTTTCATATAAAATTAATATTTAAAAAACCGACCGAAATCGATCGGTTATTTCAGTCAGTCATTTTAAAAAACCGACTGACTTCGGTCGGTAATTTTATATTTTTAATAAAATTGACCGAAATCGGTCGGTTATTTTCACGCGAAAATGCAATTGAAGAGTACAAATAAATTAAAAGAAAGTCATAAACCAAAATTTACCAATAGTCTAGTGGTATAATAGTATCATGCCATCGTACAGACCCTGGTTCGAGTCCCAGATTAATTGCATAATTAAAAATACCGACCAAATTCGGTCGGAAAATACCGACGTCAGATTTTTCTTTTTGGGCCATTTGTGAAAATTAATTTACCAACCGAAATTGGTCGGAAATTGCGACCGACTTCGGTTGCTATTTTTTAACCGACCAATTTAATTTCGACGGATTAAAGTTGGTTGGAAATCGATCGATTTTTTCAGTTTTTCGATCGATTTCGGTCGATATTTCTGAACGATTTTAGGCATTTTTCTAGCAGTTAAGTATACTTTATACAGTTAAAACTTTGAAAAGATGAGCTCGTAGTAAGGACAAAGTAGAATTATACATAAAAATTTAGAGCAGTGAAATCGTCGTACTAACGCGAAACTTTAAACACACATGAAGATCGAAGAGTACTCTCATATCGAAGAGTAGTTCGCTATGCATCCGATTCTTTAATCAAAGATTAGGGCAGAGTCGTTGAAATCATGTGGTGAGAAATTAATGCACCCTTTAAGACTTATATTTTTAACTGGATGTCCCCTAAGCTCCCCTTCAGACTATTTGACCTTACCTAAGCTACTCTAAGCTCCACATGTCAATTGATGTCCACTTGATCTTGGAGATAATTAACAAAGGCGGGTTAATAATTAAGGACGCAGGCGTCATTAGTTGACAAGCTTTTAAGTTGATTAGCATATAAAGAGGGGCTTAATTATGTGACACTTTAAGTGAATTTCACATCAGTGAGGGTAAAGTCCCGGCCATTGTGATACAATCAACCCTCTCTATAACAGTCTCGTTTGTTCCGATAGTTTTTGGCTTTTATAGTGAGTGATTGTTATACACCTATAACAACAACATTTGACGTTTAAATAGAAAACTATTCAAATTTACAATCTCAAAAGATATGCATATTTTACTAGTTAAATATTGCAGAAAGCTAATATATTATTAATAAATTCATAACTAAACCTTGTATAGGAAAAAATATGCTATGCTACGTGACCATCCAAAAAGAGGGACACGTAGAACCTAAGACGGGGGATAGCTAAAACCGAAGGAGATTATCTCGTCTGTCACCGGAAAGAATAACGCTCATAAAGATGCAATATATACCCTCGGTCTGGTAGCATTTAATGGAGAATATTCTACAGCATTTAATGCGTTGCCCGTTACAGAGAATTTATGCTCACCGTTACACCTTCTTCAATGTCCCTCATAATTGATATTAAAGAAGAGCATGATCCTAGGACCTTGTTCCCTAGGTGAAACAATAATAGTGAGCTCTGTTATCATTGTAAATAACACGATTTTCCTAGCAAACTTACGTTATAATTAATAAAAAGCTTATACAATTTTACTTTCTTGTTCCTTGGTTTCATCACTGTTGTGCTCGGAAGCTCCGCTCCTGAATCATTGTTCTTCGTAATTTTATCTTCATTTCAAGGATAAGTATTGTGCACTTCCTTAATTATTTCATGATCAAATTAATTCACTTATCTAGAAATCACGTATAAATTCAACTGTACCGTTTTATAGGTAAACAATTTGGCGTCCACCGTGGGGCCTAGACATCCGTGTAATTAAGTTGATCCTTGCCTTTTTTACTAACGTGTTTTGGTTATTTATCTTAGCAAAAAATTATTAAGAAATGACAGATAATGATGTTAACAACGCACACAATCCCGAGGTTCAAGGAGACTAGCCTCATCTCTAGGATTCGGTCAGTGACACCCACAATGAGTGAAACGATGCAACGCCGGTTCACGACAGGCGGTACCCACGATATGTTCGGGAGGCAACTGCCGATGATGCTGAAGAGGAGGATGTTGTTGATGCGGTAAGGGTCCTACAAGAACAACAAGAGATCATTCTAGGCCACCTCACATGACAGAATAAGGTTATGACAGAGTTGAAGCAGGCGCTGTTGGGGGCTTCAAATAATGCGAATAGATGAGGTCCGGTTCCTCCAAGCGCTCCCGCGAATCAAACAATGCAGAGGGTCGACAACAACACCCCGAAGGGCGAAGTTGGATTCGATGGGGTTGGGGGGAGCGGATCCGGCCCCAATAACGAAAACGATCCCTTCAAGAGTGAACTCTTATGGTTTATGAGGGAAGTGAACGCCCGCATGGACCAAATCTCAGGCGCACCACCGGTGCTAAAAGGTTCGGACTCAAAGAAGTATACTCAGTTGCCGTACAAACGATGTGCGACACCAAAATTAATCCCGAAGCAGTTTAAAATGCCTGACGTGCCAAAGTATGATGGAACTTCATACCTTCAAGAGCATATTACCACCTATACGATGGCGGTGAAGGGGAATGATCTAGCTCCTCACGAGATTGAATCTGTTTTGCTGATGAAATTTGGAGAGACTCTCACGAGGGAAGCCCTGGCGTGGTATTTGCTGTTACCCGAGTATTCCATAGATTCATTTGAGATGCTCGCAGATTCTTTTATTAAGGCTCACGCCGGGGCCAGAAAAGTGCAATGCCAAAGGACCGACATATTCAGAATTGCACAAGGAGAATTCGAGTTGCTGCTAGAGTTCGTTACCCAGTTCCAAAAGGAGAGAATGTTGCTCCCGGCTGTTCTAGATGAATGGGTGGCTGAAGCATTCACCAGGGGTCTGAATCCAAGAAGTTCAAACGCTTCCCAAAAATTGAAGGAAAGCTTGCTTGAATTTCAAGAAATGACTTGGGCGGATGTCCACAACCGATACGAGTCAAAGATAAGGATCGAAGAGGATTAGGTTGGCTTCCCGTCGTCGGCAAAAGGATTGGAGAAGAATAGAAAAAAATCAAAAAATGATTTCGACACGGACAAACTGTCTTCGAGGGGCCGATTTTTGCCCTACAAACAGGCCGAAGGCCACGACAGAGGCTTCCAGTCAGCGGACAGGTTTACCACCGACAGAAGGACTGATCGCAGTCGGAACAATAGATCATTGCAGGACAAAGAAGAGTCAGGTACGCAGGATCCTTCCTACCCAGGCTGTCAGAATAAAATTTCAACGTTAGTATAGTAGAGTTGGTGTCAGCCATGAGAAACATCAAAGAAGTACGGTTTCCGAAGCTGATAGGATCCGATCCCAGCCAGAGGGATCCCAACTTGTGGTGTGAATACCACGAGACGAATGGCCACCGGACTGGGAATGCCGATATCTCTTAGAAGAAGTGGAAACACTGTTGAATAATGGGCATCTGAGAGAATTCTTTAGTGACTGGGCCAAGAACAACTATGGTCACAACCCAGATAACGCAGAACCCTTGAAAGCAGGAGAAGATCCTCCGCACCGGACGATCAACATGATCTTGGGGGAGGGGGGAGGGGGGATGAAATTAACGGTTCTTGGCAGCAAAAAAGATGAAAGTATCGATAACCCATAGTAAGAGACTCCGAGAAGTTGCTGAAGACGACATCACTTTCATGGAGAGAGACACAGACGGATTGTTGCTACCACACAACGACACATTGGCGATTTCTTTAAATGTGCTAGACTTTAAAATCAAATGTGTTCTAGTGGATCCATGGAGTTCGGCCAATATCATACAATAGAGAGTATTGGAGCAAGCTAAACTCACCGAAAGCTTCATTCCGGATACAAAACTCCTCTCCGGATTCAACCTTGCGAGCGTGAGAACACGAGGAGAGATTTTGTTGCCAACGAACGCTGAAGGGGTGATGAAAATGACTCTTTTTGAAGTGGTGGATGGTGACATGGTATATAATATTATTCTGGGAAGACCATGGTCGCACGAGATGAGAGCTGTACCATCAACATATCATTAGCTGCTGAAATTTCCAACGCTAAAAAAAATTAAATAGATAAGGGGCGACCAACCGGCGACAAGGGAGATGAATGCGATTTCGATCTTCAGTAGCAAAGGGAAGGAACACACGACATAGAAACTACAGGAACCGAAACATGTTCCCGAATCGAATGAAGTTAGCTCAGGGGAAGAGGCGTCGGAATCTTATCAGGTGCCAAGGTATTTCTAGGTACCAGAAGAAACAGATGCAAAAAAATCCATAGCGGAAGAGCTCAATCAAGTTGCATTGTTTGAAGAGTTCTTAGAAAGGAAATTCCACTTGGGGACAGGACTGCACCCCAAGCTCAGGTCTGGCTTTATTGAATTTCTTAAAGTTAATGCCGATTGTTTTGCTTGGTCGCATGCGGACATGACAGGTATCCCAACGGAGGTGGCCGTACACAAGC